GTGCCCAGAACTGAACACGATACTTCTGATGTGGTGTAATCAGGTAAGCACAGAACAATACTATTAAATCCCTGACACAAGACACTAGCAGCCTAAGATCCTGTTACATTTCTTGGCTGCCACATCTCACACACAGGCAGTTGCCAACTTGTAGATGGGCTACATTCCAAACACTGTTATTTGGTACTCATCTTCCCACAGGAAAAAAAATAGTTATAAAGGGTGGTTAGGTTCCCAAGCCAACATCAATAGCCAATTAAACCTATAGTATGGCTGGACTGCAGAATTTAAGTGCTCCTGGGAAGCAGCTCTGCAATTGTGGTCTTCGATTCACTATCAGTAGGAGCAGGTGTTTCCAAGTCAGGTGTTCACAAATCATTTCTATTTTTGTTGCCCCAGCACAGAGCACAATATCTGGTACATAGTAGGTGTTCAATAAAAAAAAAAAGTGTGTTCTTTTTTTAGACCAGTGTTCTCACTGGTATATGGAAAAGCCAATAAGAAAAGTCTCTCTACCGATACAGAGCAGCACCTGCTCAGCAATGTAAAACTCTTACAGGCCACTTGGCTACAACGAGGTGTAAAGTGACTTGTCCCACATCATAAAACCATTACGTGTCAGTACTAATGGTAGTTCTCTATTCTCTACAGAACACTGCCTCTCAAATTAATATTAGCTGGTAAATAACTATTCACATTCATAACACAATTAGGTTGGCAAAATGCATTCTTTACAAACACTCTTGCAAAAGACAGAGTTGGTGATACTAGATTAGGCCCATTTTACAGATAACTAAGGTTTAGACTTTAGCAAGATTAAGTGACTTAGCCAAAGTCACATAGCTAGCAAGGGTCTTAGTTAGAATTTAAGCCATTCTTCTGGCTTCAAGGCCAGCATTCTTTCCTCTACCACCCTGCCTCAAGAAAGTCTCTGGCAGGAAAGGGTTTGTGGTAAAAATTGTGACTGTTTAGTGTCTGAGTGGATATCCCTTGAGTATATACAGGGTGGGTACATTTAGAGTTCCCTGGATACATATCCTTGTACCAGCCCATATGGGTCTCAAACTTTCCCATGTCCCTCTCTCACCACTCTTTGCCTCCCACCTTTCAAAGTCTCTCTCTTTCATAATTGCCTCCTTTAGAAATTTAATGGCTTGACACCAAGGTTAGGGGTGAAGACAAAGAAGGGACAACGCAAGCAAGGCAGTTCAAAGGTTCATGGTCTCTAGACCAAAAACAGGAGGGGAAAAAAACCCTGTAAAACCAGCTGTTTAAGCTGTATTTTATTACCATTCAAAATACTTCTAGGAAATAAGGCTCTTCTTGCTTCACTTCTTCCATGCAGTGAAAGCACTGGCCACCTTGTTGTTCCCTACACGTAACATTCTATCTCTCAGTTCCATGACTTTGTATAGAATCCCCTCCCCCAAATGACCTTGTATTTATTTTGTGTGTATATTTATATGTATATATATATATATATATATGTGTGTGTGTGTGTGTGTGTGTGTGTATACATATACACACACACAAGTGTATATGTGTATATATATTTATATGCACATGTTGTCTCCCCTGACATAAGGCATAAGCTTCTGGAGAGCAAAACTGTTTCATCTTTTTCATCTCTGTATATTTGTATATACAAATATACCTACTGATAAGCTGGTAATAGCTGCAGAATAAATGATTAGATGACGTTAATTGTAGATTAACAAGCTATTTGTAAGAGCCACCAAAGCATTTCTACCAACAAGGTTTGGAAATCTGATTTTTGAGGAAGTATCCCTCTCTAGATTTCTAGAGGGCATTTATATGATCGATTTATGATACTTTTCTAGTTGCCCTAAGGCAAAGGTTCTTAACCTAAGGCTCATGAAGGTAGTGGTGAGGTTTTTTTTGGTAATATGTTGAAACTATATATGTGTGTGTATATATATGTGTGTGTGTTTGTATGCATCTATGTATATGTATATGTGTGTATGTATGTATATATTATATATTTCAAAATAATTGGTTTTCTTTTTATCCTATGTACTTTATTTTATGTATTTTAAAACATTATCTCCAGGAGAGGTCTGTAGGTTTCACCAGAATGCCTATGGAGCAGTCTATAGGAACAGACACAGACACACACACACACACACACACACACACACACACACACACACACACACACAGGTCAAGAACTCTTGTCCTTGGGCTTAGTCTTAAAGGAAAATACATTTTTGAATAAGAAAAGGAACTCTCTTGGACACAAATTTTTTTTCAAGTACTTATCACTAGAACTCTCCTTTTTCTCCAAATTCTTAGATTAAGATATAAAAAAAAAGTTATATCTTTTGTGGATAACCTATCGCTCTGGCCAGAAATGTTCATCTTTTTAAGACTTACAAATATGTAAGCAGCTAGTTAGTAGTTCAGCAATAGAGCTCCACCTAGAAGACAGAATCATACAAACAGTCTTTTTTTAAGAGCTGAAAAGGATTTTAAGAACATCATCTAATCCAAATTCATCATTTCACTGAGGAAGAAACTGAGGCCCAGAGAAATGAGTTACTACTGCTCAAGGTCACAGAGCTGGTTCTTTAGAAAAATGCCTTTGTCATCTGCCCCCATTTTAAAGGCCTCCTAATTAATTTTGTGTTTTTTTTAAATTCAGAAGTTATTCATGTATTTGCAAGGAAGCATGCTGTACTTGAAATCAGGAAGACCTAACTTTAAATCCATCTATCTTTCAACTAATTTACAGATGAAAGGAATCACAGTAAATCACAGATCCTTGATATATTCATATTTTCACAAATGATAAAATAAAGGACGAAGAAGAGTCTCCCAGTACTAATTCCCACAAATGATTTTTCCCCTAGTCCTGCATAAAGAAGGCAACTTCACATAAATTACCTATTTCAGTTTCAAGAAACTGGCTGAAGGCCTTATAACATGGGTATGGATTATGTAAGGCTTATATATCCTAGAACTCTACAGTTTTCCAACCCTTGGTAAATGAGAGAGGTTTCTACCTAACATAAAGCATTTTTTACATATGACATTAAAACCTCCCTTAAGCAGAACTCATTGTTAACCCAGGGAAAACCTCAGAAGTATAAGATATTATAGAAAGAATATGTGAAACAGTCCAACTGGGCCAAATCATTAAGGGAGCAAGTGAGACAGCCTAGCTAGAAGGGGCTGAAAGAGAATTAGAGGAGGCAAGAGATATGAATTCTAGTCTTGATCCTGCCACTAATAAGAGGAATACCTTAAGCAAGTCCCCTCCCCTCTCTGAGTTTCTCACCTGTAAAACACACATAATAATAATAATACTTACAGTACCTACCTTGAAGAACCATTCTGAGGAAAACAGCTCTTAGTAAACATTAAAGTGCTTCAGAAATGTAAGCTATTATGTTATTATTATTAGATCGTATCTAAAACAGCTTCTAGCCCTAATATTCTATGATTCTACTTTTATGACTATTCTAATCCTCATTATAGTACTAGAATCAAATAATGTTGTTAGAGCTCAAAGAGTGAAGTGTTAGGTCATGCTGTTGCCCTATCCTGTAGTAAGATTGTGAGCTCAAACCCCTGCAGAAGAAGATAAGATTAATGGTTTGGTCCAAGAACAAAATATCTTTATAGCCGAGGAAGACACTCAACCGGAAATCAATTATCAAGCCTTTAATAAATGCCTACTAGCACTGGGCCTTGGGAGCACAAAGACAAAATTAAATAGTTCCCAGTCTAGCCTCCGTGGAGTGAATGAAAGGAACCATTCAGCCAAAGAATTTGGTGAGGGGTCACCACTACCCGGATATAACCTTTTCTCAAAATGCATTATCACTCTCCTTCAGATCTACAAGCAACACAGCCGCAATCCCCCCCACCCCCCAACCCATCACCCCCATGGCGACCTGCCATGTCTGGAATGCAGGCAACAGCTAGCCCAGTTCTCCGAGGGTCAAGAGCTGGGTTTCGATTATCTTTTGACAAATTCATGCACAGAGAGGGAAGATGGGCCAAGGAGAGGGTTAGTAGGGTAGGGATGGAAGCAGCAGCTGTCACGACTGAGAAGAGCTAAACCGCACAAACCCTCTAAATGTTGAGAGAAGAGAAACGCAATTCACCAACCTTGACCTTCTCTATTCCCAGCTCCCACTCTCTCTCCCAGATGAACCTGACCTAGACAATCTCCTGTCCCCCCCAACCCCACCCTAACTCTCTCAAACTCCAAACCTATTCCTGGTCTTCGGAGCAGGTGGGAAAAAGAACTGGGGGATCAAAGGATAGCCAGATGCAAAAAAGCTCAGGTCGACTCCAATCTCCCACCCACCCCCGCCCATCAGCGACAGACAGAGCCCCCGAAGCAAAAAAAGAAAAATGGGGGGGGGCAAGTGTTTTGCAAACTGGCAAAGGGCGGGGAGGGAGAGGGAGGCTGGGGGTGAGGGGAGAAGGAGGATATAAATGCACTAACAATGCAGTAGAAGCAAGACGCCCTGGCCGTTAGACTCACCCCCACTCCCCACGCCAGTCCCTTCAAAGGTTAGACAGCTGGCCCCCTCCACAGAATCCCCTCAACCCCGTTCCTCCCTCCACGGTTCCTCGCCGTCTGCACAAATATACAAACCGGCTCTCAGGGCAGTCAAGGCCAAGGGCAAATGCTCCCTGACTGCCTGCCTGGCCGCCAGCCTTGCTGCCAGTAGACAGAAGAATTGTCAGCCGCGGCGGGAGCAGTTCCCCGAGAGCCGCCGCGGGGACAGCCAGGCTCTGCCAAGCAGGAGCGACATCCTCCCGCTCCCTCGGCTTCTGCTCTGGATGCGACAGAGCAAGCCATCGCAGAAGCAGGCGGGCGGGAGGGCAGCAAGACTGACGGACGGGCTCCCTCCTCCTCCTCCACCTCCTCCTCCTTCTCTTCCTCCTCCTCCTCCCCAGAATCCTTCCCCGAAGGCCCGCACTGCGCATACAAAGGGGGTCTGAGCCGCCGCTCCTTCTTTTACCTGGGTGTTTGCCGCAGTTCTGCCGTGGCGGGCGCGGGCACGGGCACGGGCACGGCCTCTTCGGGGCTGCGCAGTCTCCTGCCTCTGTCTCTCTCTCGCCCTCCAGAGCGGACACTGCAGCAGCTGCAGCTCCCGCCGCCGCCGCCGCCGCCGCCCCTCCTCCGGGCACCGACCGCTCCCCACGCCCCCCTGCTCCCAGCCCGCGCCCTACCCGGCGCGCGCAGGCCCGGGCTCCGGGGCTCAGCCGCTCGCCGCTGCAAGGTCTGACTTGAGTTGTCTGCAGTGGTTTCTCTTTATTGCACCGTGCCCCCCCCCCCGCCTCCTTCCACCTCCACTCCAGCCCCTAAAATGTTAGGGGGGGGGGGGTTGAGAAGGTAGGGTAATGAATGAAAGGGAATGGGAGGGGGGCAAGAAGCTGCCAATCTGAGCACAAAGACGCCATAAAGCGTCTGTGGGTTTCCTGCAGCATTTGCCTTTGAAGACCACCGCCTGGCCCCCACCCCTTCGGAGCGCGAGCGCAGCTCCCTCTGCTGACCGAAGGGACGAAGTACCAACTCGGAGAAAGCATCCGTTCCCAATCAAGCTTCCTCTCTCCTCTTACCTTTCTGAGCTAAGCTGGCCCTTCGTTAAAGAAAATCATGGGATCTAAGAGTGGAAGCCTAATCCATCCCCCTTTAGGTGTAAGGAGAGCTAAACCTGCATTCAGATCCTGGTTCCCACACTTGCTCATGGGCTTTGGCCATATAATGTACTTAGTATTGGATATGGAGTCGGAGGCCTGGGTTAGAATCCAGGTTCTGCATTTACTATTCCAATGACCTGAAGCAGGGCATTGGGATAATGATTCTTGAGCTGCCTTTCCCCATTTAAAACCCTCGGCTTCTGGTAGGGAAATACTCCAGAAATTTGTCTTCTGGCTCCACATGTCATTTTTTGATGACTCAGATCCATCTCATCTGGTCATCATTTCTCTAGCAATGACAAGAAAGGAGCAGCTGAATGGTAATAATGATTTTAAAAATGTCAGAGCTGGAAAAGGTCATCTAGCTCAACCTCTTCATTTTAAAGAGAATAATAATAACGATAATAGTTAACATTTATCTATCATTTTAAGGTCAATCAGTTAACAAGCATTTATTGAACACTTACCATATGCCAAGCAGCAAAGCACATAATCTGTACTATCTCATCCGATCAGTGAAGGCAGCTGACTCCCAAAGGTAGGAAGTGATTTTTGAAAGGTCACATAGAAAGTCAGTGTCAGCAGAGGTGGGACCAGTAAAGCAACTTCTAACTCCTAGTGCAAGTCTGCTTTCACTGAACCATTCTGGATTTCTGCAGTGACTTAGCTATTTAGATGGATTCATAATCTCCTTGAAGTGAGATCTATGTCACTCTTCTGCTCAAGAAGCCTTCGTGGCTCTCTATTGCCCTTTACAAATTGACTGTATCCTGTCTCTCCAGGCTAATTACACATTACTGACCCCTAAATGTTCTACCTATTCTTCACCAGGTTGGCCTATTTGCTGTTCCCCATACACAATACTTTATCTCACATCCCCATACTTTTGAATTGGCTCTACCCAAAAAAATGGAATGTTCCCCTTCTACACATCTTCCTCCTCATACTCTGGGTACTCTTTCAAGAGGCCATTCCTGATTTTCACAATGATTAAGGACCCAGCTCTTCTCCACCCTCACTGTTTATTTATTTTGTATATATCTTGCACTACCTATCTGGAAACCAAATCTATTCACTTTTTTGGATGGAGTTTAACTAAAGGTCTTTAAGTTCTGTTCTGATATTAGATCCTATCATCCCTATGAAATCTCTGCTCCAAGAATACAGAGACTGGCTCACTTTTATATTGGTATCCTAGTGCAAAAACAAACAAGCAAAAACAATTTCTTTTTTGTCCTGACTTGTGATTTCATTGACATAGAAAACTCCTGGTTAAAAAAAAAAATCTCTCCACCACTGAAGACCAGCAATCAGTCTAACCCTTAAAACCATAGGCATTTTGCCTGGGATATGAGAATATTAAATGGATTATGTAGGGTCCTCCACCCAGTATGTGTTAGAAGTTAGATTCAAACACAAGACTTTTTGACTTGTAGACTGGCTCTGTATTCCCCAACCATCCTGCCTGTTATTGGACACAAAAGGCATTGAATAAATGCTAGTTAATTGATTGATTTCTTCATTGATACCTTCATTGAGGTAGCTCTCAAGCTATCCATTCTTTCCCATCTTGTGCTATTTATTTTTGGATTCTTCTTATCAAATGAGGCAGTGAAAAGCTGCATAAATAGCATGGTATTTTGAGTCAGAAAAGCTCAGTTTGAATCCCAGCTCTAATATTTATAACTTGTTTGATTTAGGGGGCAAGTTACAGAACATCTCTGGGCCTAAATTTCCTCATTTATAAAATGATGGAGCTTAACTAAATGGTCCCTAAGGTCTCCTTTGGGTCCAAGTCTTGACCCTTATGAAGTCCTTCAGTGAAGTTCTCCCCAAGATCTTCCTCTGATTCTTTTACTATGCAGAAAATATCATTAGAATGCCCTGTGCTCTAGCTACATGACTGGACAGTGTCCTATTACAGTCATAATTGTCCTTGATAAATCTGCCATGTTGATCTTTGTAGATCTTATGCTAAAGCCTGCTTGTGTCTTGCCATTCATTGACTTTCAGTCCCTTTGTAATTTAATATAATATGAGATCATAGTATTCCAGAATTTGTAGTCATACAGCATCACTAGAGAATCACTAGAGATAGACTTTGGCAATTTGGAATACCCACAAGCCCTAGCTCCTATTCAGTTTGGGGCTTACTTAGCTCATGGTTCATCTTCAAAGTCTGTGAAAGATACAGATACAAAAATCCTATTAAAGAAAGTACGGCCTGGGGGAAAGAGCACTGTGCTTAAAAGTCAAAAGATCTTCCAAGTCTTGGCTTTAACACTGAGAAGTCATATTCATGTTTTTTAACTCCTCTGTTTCTCTCACATGAAGGTAAGGATGCTTATATTACCAATTTCCCAGTCCATGAGCACAAGAGATAGGTAAAGAGGCTTACTGACAGAGGGGGAAGAATGCTGGAACCAGGCGTTGCTGTTGCCGTTGTTGCTGTTGCTGTTTGTCCTTCATTCCCAAAGAGGGCCATGACATCAGGGAGGCGATGCCATGACATGCAGGTGAATTGGATTTAAGTGAGGGAGGGCAGTGCAAAGTCACCAGCCTCACTTTCTCCTCCAGAGCCATCTAGGTCCAGTGGCCAGATATAGATCAGGACGACTGGAGATGGTCCCAGATGCAGTGGGAGACCTTGGCCTTTTTAAGCTAAGGTCTTTAACAGGTTACAGTTTAACTGAGGCAATGTCCATTCAATGATTAAGGCTGGGTAAGAAATGAAGTAGAGAAGGACCTCTTTTACCTAGTTTAAAAAAAAGTCAATCTGGGAGGGGAAGAACCTCTGGGTTTCTGGCTAAAATGAAGCAATTGTTATTTACATTCACTCTGAGCCTGGCACTTATTGTTGGCCAAGCAATGAGAGCTAGAGTGATTTGGGTTTAAGGCATGGTCCTTAAGAAAGAAATCTGGCCCATAAACCCCAAGCTATCTTCAGTGATCAAAATTTACATTTCTTTGGACAGAGCACCTACCTATGTGTTAGCAGCTAGATGACACAGTAGATAGAATGCCAGGCTTGGGGTCAGGAAGACTCGTCTTCCTGAGTTCAAATCTGGCCTCAGATACTTAACTAGCTGTGTAACCCTGAGCAAGTCACTTAACCCTTTTTGCCTTACTTTCTTTTCTGTAAAATGAACTGGAGAATAAAATGGCGCACCACTCCATTATCTTTGTCAAGAAAGCCTCTAATGTGGTCACAAAGAGTTGGACAGGATTGTAAACAACCGAACAACAATAATGTGCTAGGCAGCTAGGTAGCTCAGTGGATAGAGCACTGGACCTGGAGTTGGGAAGAACTGAGTTCAAATCTATCCTCAGACATTTACTACTTGTGTGACCCAGGACAAGTCACTTACTTTGTATTTGCCTTAATCCACTACAGAAGGAAATGGCAAACCACATCAGTGTCATTACCAACAAAATTCCACGGACAGTATGGTCCACAGGGTCAGGAAAAGTTGCACACAACTGAATGACTGAACAGCAACATATGCTAACATTGTGCTAAGCACTTGACAAATATTATCTCGTTTGAAACTCTGGGAGGTAGTTATTATTTTTATCCTCATTTTACAATTGAAAAAACTGAAACAGATAGAGGTGACTTGCCTAAAGTCACACAACTCATAAGCGTCTGAGGCAAAATTTGAACTCAGGTATTTCTGACTCTAGGCCCAATAGTCTAACCACTTTGCCATGAGCTGCCTTGATTTGGAATCGTACCTGAGCCACTTATGAATGTGTGACCTAGGGCAAGTCACTTAGTCTCCGTGGGCCTCAGTTCACTCGTATATGATATTATGTATGTAAGATTATGTATATATTAATAAATGTTGGTATAATGAATTTATTATGTTATATTGATATATACACAATATTATCTATTTTTTTTTATTTTTCCCTTTATATTCATGATGCATATATTTGTTTGTATTGTTGTTTCCCCCATTAGAATGGAAGTCCTTCAAAGTTAAGGTTGTTTCATTCTTTGTATTTGTATCTCCAGAATCAAGAACAGTGTCTGGTTCATAGTAAATGCTTAATAAATACTTGCTAATTTATTGGTTTTTGCATCTTTAAAAAAACTTTTAGTATATAATATGACCTTATTTTGATGAAATTAATTGTGGTGCAGTATTTAGAACGGAGTTTACAAGTTTTTGCCACATTCCTTGATTCTTCACAATGAAATCACACTTATCATACTGGATATTAAAAATAACTTTGATGGACAACCCATTTTCCCAAATTTATCCTAGATTATAAAACATGAATTTTCAATACGGTTTAAATCAGCTAAGTTCCCACATCATTGGAGCTTATAAATCTCCATCTCTTGAATCAGTCCCATAACTTGTCATAGTGTGTAACACGGTACAATGTCATGTTGCAATATTCCTTCTCCATGTAGGAATTTCTGTAATTATGGAACAATTCTGTTTCTCAATATTATGAAAAAATGTATCAGAGTTGAAATCGGAGTTTAAGTCTGGGGAAAAGACTTTTAAACTTAATGGAAGAAAAAGGTTTTTTATACATACATACATATATATATAAAACTTTTTTATATATAAAAACATATACATGTATATTTAAATATACACACTTCTTTGTATGTATCTATATATTGGAATGAATGTTTTACAGCCTGAAGATGTCCATAACTTATCAAGAGTTCCTTCTGACAACAGATTTAGTATATCCTTGATTGAAAAAGTACTTGACCAGTAAAAATTTCCTTTTTTTCCTGATTTTTAGTAACTCCAGTTTTTGTGTTA